CCCAAGCAGACGGAGACTCAGAAGAATGATGACGGGCCTGATGAGTGGGTACCATGGATGCACTTGCCATGGATGCATTTGCCATGGATGCACATCACTTTCACGAATGCGCAGTTGTTGCCACTGGACATCCCTCAGGTGAGGCAGCAGCTGCGACAGGAAGTGCCCGCCCTCGCTTTTTTTTTGGAAAAGCTTGGGGTTGATGCCGTTGCTTGTGCTGTATCTTGGCTCAACTTGTTTGTCTGTTGATCTGGTTGTTGTCAGATGCTTTCAGTGGGCCCAGGCATGTCTGAACCTGGCCATGTACAATGACGAGGGCAGGGACTATGCCAAAAATCTGGCGACGAAACTGGGCCGACCCTTTGCTTAAACTTGCTTACTTGTCTGTCTTCCTTCTTTCCAAATTCCAAGGTTCAGAATTTCAATGTGATGTTCCCGAACTTAAGGTGAACTCACTACAGACAAACAACTGACGGGGCCGAATGCAGCTTCCAAAGTGGTGATGTGCCATGTCAATGAGAAGCTCGGTTGGATCTCGACAGATTCCTCGAACTATGACTACTACAAGAATTTCAAAAGGTCCCGGAATCACGGTCAGAGCTGGAGTTCCAGTGCCAGGTGAGCTGTCCCAGCTGTCCAACTTTTCAAGACAGCAAACCTGAAGGAGATGACCGATGTCAGTTGTCTCAAATGTTCGCTGCCAGATGGATTTTTTGACTCAGCAACTGAATTGATTGCCTGAGAAACAAGGCAGTCTACAATTGGTCTTTGCAGTTTGTTCTGCAAATAACAGACCCATTGGAATCGCCAAGAAAAAAATCAGCTGCAATCCAGAGGGTCAGTTTTGTCAAACTTGTCATGATCAAACAGTGACCACTTGGTGTGTTTTTTGATGTTTTTTGTCATTGCCCTGTCGCAAGCCAGGCTTGAACCTCTTTACTCCGCGACAGGCCTGGTGCAAGCCTGACATGCTCTGTGCAGTCTTGACTTCCATGTTTTTTGTCATTGCCCTGTCGCAAGCCAGGCTTGAACCTCTTTACTCCGCGACAGGCCTGGTGCAAGCCTGACATGCTCTGTGCAGTCTTGACTTCCATGTTTTTTGTCATTGCCCTGTCGCAAGCCAGGCTTGAACCTCTTTACTCCGCGACAGGCCTGGTGCAAGCCTGACATGCTCTGTGCAGTCTTGACTTCCTTTGACTGGCAGTGCATCCACAGGTGCAGATGACAATGAGTTGTTGTGATTTTGTTGCTGCTGACAGGCTTGGCGCACAATCGTCCAGGCACAGCTGATAGCCAATCAACTGATCAGATTGTGTAGCGATGTTCAACTGATTTCAAGAGTCATTTGCAACAGCTTCCTGCTGCACTGCTCATGTGCATCGTGAGCATCCAGTTTCAAGACCAATCTTGCGTTCGCTCCTCCACTACCTCTCGCTCAATGGCAGGGCAAGCGGCTTTCGACGCTGTCTTCAAGGACAGGCTGCCTCAAATACAGCCTGAGATAGCTGAGCCATCTGGCAAGCCTTGTGCTCTGAGTTGGAATCCAACAGCAGAGGAAGTCATGACCCCAAGCGCAAGTCAAGATCTACGTGGAGAACTTGACTCTACAGAGAAGCGTCAGATGTCCTTGTGGGAAGATCTTGTGCTACAGGCAGATCATGCTCAAGCTCCTGGCAAGCAGGAACCTCTGCATCTGGAAGATAAACCCAGACTGTTGGCCATTCAAGACTTTGATGCAGTTGCTGAAGAGAGCCAGCAGATCGGTGAGGAGAACTTGGCCATGAAGAATGCTGCAAACTCACCAAGAGATGATGCAAAGTTGCCAGATCCTGTTGTGGACACAGTGCCAGATGATGACGTCAAGATGCCAGATGATGACGTCAAGATGCCAGATGAAGGAGGGAAAAAGCCAGTTGCTGATGGAGGTGCGTTGCCAAAAAGAAAGGAGCGAGCTTCTGATGCTGATGATGAGAGGTTGGCCAAACGAGGCAAATCGACTTTTGCCAGCAAGCCTCCGCCGAAGAATGAAAAGCTCTTGATGATCTGGGAGGCCATTGTTGAGGCGTATGATGATCTCATCAAGCCTTTTTTGGTGCACCCAGCCAAGTCAGAGCCGAGCTTCTACAAATTTTGCCGAGACAAATGGGAGGGTGTTGAGAACATGACGAAATCCGATTACTATGGCGAAGCCAGGTTCTTGAGTGGAAAATGGTTGGAGCAGAACAAGGATGCAGTGCCCATGAAGATGCCCTTCCGCAACAAGTGATGGACACATGCTGATCATTTGTAATGGTCAGATGTTTTTGGGGTTCAGCATCTGTAGATGCAGCGCATCATTTGCGGAGCAGGGAAGAAAAGGTTAGCCTTGCGTGCCCGTGTTTGTCACAGCTCCCATCCTTAGGAGAGTCGCTCTTTGTGAACTGGTTATGTTTGAATTGTAATTTAATGTTTGGCGCTTGAATTAGTTCCACACCATCGAAGTTTGTGGTGATGCCTTTCTTGCATTTCTTCCTTTATTGCAGCTGTGTTTCCACCTGCCCTGATCTACTGAGGGAAAATACAGTTGCAAACTCGGTGATGCTGATTAAACAAGGTGCACCTTGCAACTTGTGTTTCGAAACAGTTTTTTGATGGCTCAAGATGACCGAATCAGAAGGCAGCAGTGTGTCAACCTCTGAGCCAGAGGCGGCGCCATCCCGCGGTCGTGGTCGTCGCGGTCGTGGTCGTCGCGGCGGCGGTCGCAGTGGCGGTCGCGGTGGCGGTGGCAGCAGTAGCCGTGGCCATCATGGCGGCGGTGGGAGCCGCGGTTGTTCTGATGGGTTTGCTGTTGACAGGTCTGCCAGCGAAGCTACATCAGAGACAGAAGAAACAAAGAGAGTTCGACTACAAGAAGTGCAATGGAAATGCCGAAAAGGTGAAAAACGAGAACTAGATTCCTCTCACAGTGAAGGTGAAGCCAGTCCTGATGCGCCTTCGAATCTGATGAGGTATGTGACTTGGATTGTGGACAAGCTGGACTCGAAAGATGTTGATTGTTTGCGGGCACATCACAGTCAGCACACATTGAACATTGGTGAGCTCTGCGCTGGGATGGCAACGGGTACCATAGCTTCAAAAACTTTGGAGTCCAAGATCACAGAGATACATGGTTTGACAGTTGCTTGCCAAACAGTGTTCTACAGTGAAATGGTGGCATGGAAGAGAGCTCTTTGCCAGGAAGTGCATAAGAGTTGTGGTGGAGAGCATGCCGCACCTGCACTGTTCAAATCAAGGACTGCAGAGCTGAATGGGTTGAAAGAACCAAAAGTAGACCTTTGGATCGGAGCCATCGAATGCGATGATGTCAGTCCCCTGACAACCACTCCTCGCTCCATTTTGGACAGAGAGGGTAGAAGCGGCTCCAGTTTCATGGAAATGCTAGACGTATTGTCTTCATGTGGCATGGATGCAAGACCCCGCTTCATTATGCTGGAGTGTGTGGCTGCGCTGGACAAGCTGCGCAAGGCTGTCAATGAAAAAGGAACGAAAGTTGCAACAGACAAACTGGCAGAGCTAGGATACGCTGGATCATGGAACCTGCTCAACACTCGTGACTTTGGGCTCCCCCAAAGCAGGTCAAGAACTTACGGTGTTTTTGTGATGCGAAGTGCAGGGTTCGGCATGCATGGCCAGGAGATTCACATGAAGCAGGTGCAAAGAGTTTGGGATTTTGTGGCCAGTTGCAAGATTGACAAGCCAGATGTTCTTGCCAAGTTTTTGTCAGATGCCAAATTTGCGATGCTTGCTGATGAGATGTCAGATGCCAAAAAAAAAGAATGACAAGAAAAAGGTGGAGAACAAAAACAAACCCAAGAAACCACCTGTATGGAAAAAACAGCATGCTGCTTTCAAAGAAAAATGGAAAATTGCGGACTCAGAGATGAAGACCAGAGTTCAGAAGGCATTGGTGCAGCAGAAAGACAAGTTGAACCTCACTGAGCGGGAGGTTGAATGTGCAATCCTGAAGTTGGCCCTGCACATGCGAAAGAACATCAAGAACCCTGTGGACCAGGATTGCCTGGTTGCAAACATTGGGGACTCCCTCAACTATGTTCGTTTCAACTCCACCTGCCACCCTTGCCTTCTGCCTACCAAGAAATATCTGTATATATTTCAAGGCCATTGCTTCACCAACTCCAATGTGACTGGCAACCTCTACTTGCGGTTGCAAGGACTTGGCCCAGAAGAAGTAGAGAAAGCAGGTCTTGGTGGACTTGACCAAAGGCAAAGTCAGGAATTGGCCGGCAACGCTTTTACTTCAAACATAGTTGCGGCCATTGTTTTGGGAATCTTGGTGAATTGGAAGTAGCACCAAATTCAGAGCAGCGTCCCGCAGCGAAAAAAGGAGCTCAGCATTGGCAGAATAGGCTTTTATTGTCCTTAAGACTCCCTTTATAGTAGAGTTCTTGTTCCAGGTTCCTGCTGTACTGTAAGGCCTCCATAGACTCGCAGATTGGCTTTGAAGCTTGGCCCTAAGCAACTGGCACTATGCATCTAAGCAACTGGCACTATGCGTCTGATTTTTTGCTTTGCTGTAGATCTGGCGTTTTGGTTTAATTGCAACTGGCTATGCATCTGGTAACTGGCCCATAAGGCATTTGCATTTGAATCTGATAACTGTGCATCTTCAGATTACTGCCAGTTCTTCTGGCAACTGACCCTCAGGCATTTCGATTTGAATCTGGCATCTGGCAGCTTGGCCCTCAGGCACTCCACATCTTACTTCGACTTTTCTGTAGATCAGGGACGTCAGGGACCGTGGATTGTTGTTCAACAGCTTGATTTCAGGCCATTTCATCCAGGCAGCTGTGCGCTTGGCAGCTGGACCCTCAAGCTAAGCCCATTTGAATCTATTTGATTTCTATTTTTTAAATAAACCCAGGATTTGTGGTTGCCGTAGACCTGGGATTTGGGGTTGCCGTAGACCTGGGATTTGGGTTTGCTGCCAACTTCCGACAATCCTATGGCAACTGGGAGTTGCCATAGACCTGGGATTTGGGGTTGCTGTAGACCTGGGATTTGGGGTTGCCGTAGACCTGGGATTTGGGGTTGCCGTAGACCTGGGATTTGGGGTTGCCGTAGACCTGGGTTTTGGGGTTGCCGTAGACCTGGGATTTGGGGTTGCCGTAGACCTGGGATTTGGGGTTGCCGTAGACCTGGGATTTGGGGTTGCCGTAGACCTGGGATTTGGGGTTGCCGTAGACCTGGGATTTGGGGTTGCCGTAGACTTTGCTGCCAACTGGAATCCTATGGCAACTGGGAGTTGCCGTAGACCTGGGATTTGGGGTTGCCGTAGACCTGGGATTTGGGGTTGCCGTAGACTTGGGATTTGGGTTTGCTGCCAACTTCCGACAATCCTATGGCAACTGGGAGTTGCCATAGACCTGGGATTTGGGGTTGCCGTAGACCTGGGATTTGGGGTTGCCATGGGAGATTTGGGACTTGGGTTTGCTGCCAACTTCCGACAATCCTATGGCAACTGGGAGTTGCCGTAGACCTGGGATTTGGGGTTGCCGTAGACTTGGGATTTGGGTTTGCTGCCAACTTCCGACAATCCTATGGCAACTGGGAGTTGCCATAGACCTGGGATTTGGGGTTGCCGTAGACCTGGGATTTGGGGTTGCCGTAGACCTGGGATTTGGGGTTGCCATAGATTTGGGACTTGGGTTTGCTGCCAACTTCCGACAATCCTATGGCAACTGGGAGTTGCCATAGACCTGGGATTTGAAATTCAAAAGGCACCTGGCTGCCAACCGTAGGATTCTGAGGTGTAGGCAGCATGTGCCCCAATCCTATGGCAACTGGGAGTTGCCATAGGATTTCCCAGGGTATATGATTTTCTGTATTTCAATATATTGGGATTCCCCTCACTGACTATCCCTGCCAAATCCTATGGCAACTGGGAGTTGCCATAGGATTCTGGGTAAGTAGCTTCAGAGTCCAGAATCCTATGGTCTGCAGCCCCTGATTCAATTTGTGAAAACACTGACCCAGAATGTTTTGGTTTGATTTTCTTTTCTTGGAATCTTGGAACACCCTGTGTTCTTTGACTTGTGGTGTCCCCTTGGGCCCGTGTGATGTGTTCATGACCAGTGGCTTTTGTGCTGAACCAGTCATATCATATCGCCTCTGAACATGGCAGCCGGCAGCAGCAGTGAGTTGCCGCCTTGGTGTGAGTATGTCAAAGATCAGATCTTGAAGTTGCATGAGGACAGATTTGGTTTTTGATGGGTGTTAGTTGGTGCTTTTTGGTCCGTGCTGCTACTTTGCATTCTGGATTTGTTGCCCCTTTACTTGGCAGGAAGCCAACAATGACCGTGAGTGCTTGACGCCCAAGATAGCAAGCCTGCCGTTGCCAACGGAGATGTCAGATGTTGTTGAAGAGATTGCCCAGATGTATGCTGTTTTGTCTGGGAAAGAGCCTAGCTGCAACTTGAAGTTTTTACCCACTAACCCTTTGTGAACAACTCTTTAAGACCATGAGAGCAGCAATAGAAATGTGCATCGGAGCCGGACGCACTTTTTTGTAAACGTTGGCCATGAGTGTGACTCACTCAGCTAGCTAGGATCACTTTTGAAGTGTCCCACTCTGGCTGAGTCAAACATGTGCTTCCCTCCCCTTTTGAGTTAGGAGAGGGCAGGTGGGGATTTCAAAATCACACCCTTGAGCCAAAATGGCCCCAGGCCAAGCTGGTTCAAGGGTTTCCCTCCCACAAACACCCCTCTCATGTCATTTAGTTGTTACAACAACAGTTTCACTGTTTCACCCAACAACTCTTTAAGACCATGAGAGCAGCAATAGAAATGTGCATCGGAGCCGGACGCACTTTTTTGTAAACGTTGGCCATGAGTGTGACTCACTCAGCTAGCTAGGATCACTTTTGAAGTGTCCCACTCTGGCTGAGTCAAACATGTGCTTGATTGAGTCCATGATGCCAACCTGGTCCATTCTGCGTTCGAGCGCATTATGACTCCGATGAGGATGATGAAGAGGTAGAGGACTCATCATCCAATTTCTGTTGCTTGGGCTTAAAAACATTTGTTGCATTCTGGCTTGTCTGGGTCCGCTTGACTTGCAAGTGCATAGTCTGCGTGACCACGTGCAAAATACCAGTTGCATTGGGTGCGCCATAGGTAGTGAGGACGTGTTGGTCCACTACAGGCTACCTTGTGGATCTTGCCGTAGGCAGATCTGTTAATCACAAACTCCACTGAAGGTGGCTGCTCCAATTGCGGAGCAATATCCACTGCAGCCTCGCAGTCCGCAAGGCAGTCCACGGACTGGTTCCGTAAGGAAACTGCTGCGGCTGGCGGGGAACAATTTTGCGCCTGGCTGAGGATCGCAGAAAGTTCCGCCCGGGCTGCTGCTAAAGAAGTTGTGAGAGAAGCTTCTTTTGCCAAGGAGTGCAGCTGCTGAAGTGGAGCGTCGCGGATGTATATCCTGAAGCACTCCGAACCCCAGCGCCCAAATAGCTGGATCCTCCAGAGTTCAATCTGGGTCTGTGCCAGGTACACTGCGCTAGTTGCCCGAGCGCTGTGTCCGGTGAATTTCCTTGCCCCAGTGTCTGTGTGCGTAGGAAGATTCAGCTGCTGTGCCATGCATTGCATGGTGTCGGCCCATCCGCATTTGGATGACTGCTCACCTGTGGCTGATGGGAAAACCCAGCGATCGCTGATAGCTCCCACTGCCTCTAGGTGCTCCACCATGGAATGGTATGGACACTCTGGCTGCCGGGCATTCTGTTCGCAATTACAAGAATGCGTTCGAGTTGCGCCCAAGGCCTGCCAATCCGCCTTACTGGATGGAAGCTTCCAGTGGATAAGTCTTTGGACCTTGTCGATTTCGATGTGCGACCTCTCTGCCGAGCTTGCCTCGATTTCACGAAGGAGCCACCATGATGCCAACATGACGGACCTCATCGGGAAAATTGGTCCTCCAGGAGCTGCTGGGTCCTTGTGAACTTTCAGCTTCGCTAGCTCGATCATCGGCAAAGGTTGCGCCTGTTTGGCCCCTTTGGCACGCCCTTCTGGCTTGCCTAGAGGCCTGGGCGAGCTGTGCTGTCCAATCCAGTCCTCTCTCAATGTGTATCTGCTTGGCTGTGTCCATGTATAGCTCTGCTGATCTATAGCCGGCCATGTCCATCGCTCCCATCACCGTGTTGATGAGGTCCGGGGAAAGACGGAACGGGTCTGAGAAACCCGCCGCCCTGGCCAAGGCAGACCACGTTGATTTCCTTGACTCGTAGGGGCCTCTGGACGTATCTGCCTTTGCTCTCTTTGTGATGTGTTCTGCACACCTTTCCGGACCTGTGGATGCGTGCCTTATGGCGTCGTTTAACGAGCCCCTAGCGTAAGCCTTGACACCTGGCTGTGCCAATGGTGCGGCTGCTTCGGGATGCCCGGGGTCGACGGCCCCATATACGGGCCCCTCCTGCAATGGGCGTAGCCCTGCAGAATGGGTGGCTGGTTTTGCCTGGGGTATTCCCTGGCCCAGCCAAAACTGTGGACCTAGACTACGCTTCATTTCGAGCCCAAAACTCATGCGTTACCTACCCAAGAAAACATGCAGTGCACAGCCTCAGCTCTTATGTGAAAACCTATGCCCCCCAAACCACTTTTCCCCCCTTTGAAAGATCTGGCGTTACCCTTTGGTAAATGCCAAAACGAAGAATCCACTTGGATGGGTATGCGTGATGCAGCCCCCAGGTCTTCGTGCGGAAAACATGGTGGGGTAGGTTCAAACTGCCGGCTCAATGCATCTGCAACTTTATTGAGTTTGGTGTTCAGATGTTGAAGGATTGTGAACTCGTATATTCCCTTCGCCTGATCTAAAGCTATTTCTCTGGCGATCATAGCCAACCCTGGCGACTTGGCCTTGCCTTTTGCTAACATGTGGAGGGCCGATATATTGTCAGACTTGACACGGATGATGGACCCAAGTGGAAACCTTATCAGCCATGTCCTTGCGGCTAGTAAGAGGCACAGGGATTCCCAAAGCGCCATGTGGCTGGGGTCCCCTGGTTGTGCCCCAGTACGGACGATGAACTCTTGGGGTATGATTGTGCTGAAGAACTCGACTGGTCTGTCCCCAACTATCATAATAGCCCCCAAGCCTCTGGTTGATGCGTCCGTAATAATAATGCATTTTGTCTCTTGTCTGAATGCCCTCACTACCCTGGTGAACGGAGCTGCCTTTTCTCCCAGCAAGGCGTCTATCCACTGTAAGGCTATCCCAATGCGGCGCACATGGACAACATTTCTGGTCTGCTTCGGACCGTCATTCGTTGCCAGTGCAGCCCACAGGGAGTTCAAGAAAGGTCTCATGAGAGGGACCAATCCCGCCACGAAGACAACGCGCCTGCTAGACTTTGTAGCTGTCTTCGTCCAATGACCGGCCTCCTCAGGTAGGTCTGGACTTTTGATTTCAGCTCAGCAACTTTGTCTTCAGGTATAGTTACAGATATGGTGTGGTTATCGTGATCTGCTTTTATAACGGCTCCTATCCACTTCACCTCTGTTGCTGAATCAGACTTCTCCAGTTTGAGTGGGTACCCGGCTATTTGTGACCAGAGCAGGGAGATTCCCACCCTTTCCTTGTGATAGGGGTCCGTGCAGTCAAACGTGAATAGCGGGTCGTCCACATACGTTTGCAGTCTGATGTCAGGGTTGATAGAGGCAAGGGACCTTCCAAACCATGCTGCATACCTGCCCCATAAAGTTGGAGATGAAACTGAACCGAAAACCAGGACATCATAAACCACAATTTTCAGTGTGCCAGTTTTGTCCCTGAATGCAGCTGAAGTGAATGCTCTGTCTTTACCCGATGGAATGTTGTGGAAGGCATCGCGGATGTCCACTGCTAGAAACGCTGGCTTCCCCCCTTTTCGGAAAATTTCCAAGGCGTCCTCAATGGCGTCGGTGACCCTCGGCAGTAACACCCTTTCGCCTTGGGAGCATAGCTTGTTTGTGCCGCTCTCCTCATGTCCCAAATAATCCGTGCCTTCCTAATCACTCCCTCGGGTGTTTGTTTCTCCTTGACCAACAGACCCAGTTTGTTTAATACGGGTTTTATTCCGATTTCCCTTTCCGCAGCCGCCATGTTGGGGTAGAATGAACAGAAACCTTTAGATGCAGCCTCATCAATAAGTTTGTGTAGATCTTCTTCCCACTCGACGGCAGACGGATGGTTATCCCAGTTTTCGAATGACCTTTGTAATTGTTCTGCTGCCTCCGCTTCCCATTCAACCTCCTTAACCACGGGGAATATGCCCGTACAAGGAATGGGTTCGGTGAAGCCTAGGGGAGCGCCCGACCTCAACCACTGCGCCAGCACCGGGGAATCCGGGTCCCCACTTATTCTTCCCCAAGCATCAAAAATCTGAGGTTGGAGTGGTGTGCATGCTTTTGCAGTACTAGGTTGAATGGTTCCTGGGGACAACGAACATACCAGTTGCCTAAGCTTATCAATAAGCTGAGCTGAAATCGAAGCTGCCTGTCCGCCCGTTAAAATTTGGTCGACTAGCGATTTGACAGAGGGTGAGATGTTGCTTGCTTGAGAAGCTTGAAAACGGCCCTGCCTGCCATGTCGGATTTTGGGATCCTCCTGATGGACTTTAGCGGGTTGCGCATCCCTCCAATGGCTTCGGCATTCTCAATCTCCCTCTGTCTCATCGCTTGGTCCTCTAAGACTGGTCCTGTTGGTCCGGCACTCACGCCTCACTTCGCTGCCTTCCTGAGACTCCCCTCGCGATGCTTCATCACGCGGGGAAGGTCCGCCTTCTCCATCGCCTCTGCCAAGGCCTTGTTCAAGGCTGGCGGGTACTCACCCAGAGCTTTGGATGCTCGCTCCTTTTCTCCTCTGACTGTACTCCACCTCTGGACCAAGGACTCATGTGGTGAAACGTAGGTCTCTCCGTTTGGTCTGGTCCATTCCCTCGGAGGATGGTTGCACCTCCTCCCCTTGATCTGTCCAAGGGGAAGGGAGTCCGTCTGAATCCTTGTGGGCTTCGTTGTTTCTGCTCCAAATTGGCATTGGTCAAACAACGTCTTTTCCACCAGCGCGTGACCAGTCATCTCTTTGAACCAGCTCGTTTTCCACATGTCGAGCTTCTCCTTGTGGTCTGGATTTTCTATCCAGTAGGCCGCTCTGATGCGCCTCACTTCTCTCGTCACGTGTGTGGAAAATTCGATGAGATGATTTGCCTCCTTGAGCTGTTTTCTCTCCTCTGAGGAAAGGCTTTTGAGAGGCAGCCCATCCGGATGTTGTAGGGACCTGAGTGGTCTCGGGCCCGGCGGATTCTCCCTCAGTGGGGACACCGTTTCGCAAGGTGTAGCCATGCCCACTACGTCGAAGACTCCAGCCCTGATATCCGCGAAGATCTTGCGACACACTTCCGTGTCCAGAAGGTCTGCCGCAGTTGGCCCCTGCTTGTCGACCACCACCACTATCCATCCCATGTGATGAAGATAGGAGGTAAGGTCTCCATCCCTCGGACGCCCTGAGAAGAGCAGGAGGGCCCTGGGCCTGTCATCCCACAGCTGCGGGTCCAGGTTGGTGGCCCCATACTTGTAGTCCGCGTACAGCGGCATTGATGGGATCTTTTCTCTCCCTGCTTGTACCGTAGTGGATGATGATGTGGACGATGAGCTGGAGTCACTTGAGCTCCCGGGTTCTTCCTCCTCTCTTGGGTTTGGTGCCTTCCGGTCTCTGTCTTGCCTCGGCCTCTTGTGGTGTGAAGCAGCTTCATTCTCTGGGCTCGCCCTTTTCGGGGCAGCTTCTGACCTGGGTCTCTTCACTGCCGGCCGATGAGTGCCTCCAGGGGACCTGGAAGGGGAAACTGGGCGATCCCTCCTGTCCCTGACTGGAATGGCCTCATGTGGCCTCTTCCTTCGTGGAAGCGGTGGCCGCGTGTCTTTCGGCTGGGCCTCTCTGTTTGGAGTCAGCTTGATCCCTAACTTTCAGTTGGGCCCCTTGCAGTCTTTGGCCATGTGGGGGCCTAGACACTTGTCACATTGATGTGAACGATTGTTCTCACATCGTGACTGCGGCTTCCCGTTTCCGCAGGCGCCTCTGTTGTACTTCTGGCAGATCTGGATCCCTTTTCGGTTCAAGGAATACCTTGACTGTTCTGCGTCCCAGCGTGATCTGTCCTCACCTGTGTACTTGCGCTTGGCCTTCTTCTTCTGCGTGCCTTCTGGCTGCCGAGACTTGCGCTTCTGTGGGCGACCCTCTTGAGAGCTGCTCTCTTCAGGTGCCAGCTGTTTGTTACGGGCCAGAAGGAGCGTGGCTGGCGTCGCCACTTCTTTGGACCAAAAGTCCGACTCCCTGACCGTTGCCGCAAAGACTGAGCTCCATGGAGAGGCCCTAGTATACCCATACTTTGGGTCCTCATCCAGGGCCCTGCGGATCCGCTCTTGGAACTCACTTCTCATCCTGACATCTGCACGGTATATGATGCCCCATGCTTCCTGTCCGAACTGCGCATGGAGGTCCTTTATATGTTCTAGGTAGCCCTCCAGTCTCTCCGCATCTGCAGCCTCCAACAAGAGCATAGCCACCTTGTAGGTCTTGAAGCTCTTCTCCCATTGTTGGAGAGTAGCCGGACCTGGGCTCTCTTTCTTCGACCACTCCCCAGTCGCCGCATTCAGGGTGTAGGAGGAGAACACACTCCTGCGCAGCGACCGGATGGCGTGTGGCCCGAAGATTGACATGTCTATGTACGGCAGAGCTCCACTGGTAAGAAGCTGTTTGATTGCTGATATTTGATCAGCGCTGGGTTCCACGTCTGCTGACGGGACATCGCCGAACTTGGACTTGTACTTGGAGAACATCTCTGCAATTTCTTCTTGGCCCAATTGCAGGATCTCTGCATCGAGTGTGGGATCTACGATGCTACTCAGTTTAAGCTTTCTTGTCGGAGATGATGGACCTTGTCCTCCTCCAGTGCCTGGGAATGGGGCCGCTCCCACAATCGGCTGTGGAGGGCCTGCACCACCAGGTCCATCTGGATTGACCTTGAGCCTCAGGAATACCACCCGGCGAAAGATCTCGACCCGTGAAAATTCCACAGGGGTCAAGTCTCGCTCGGCCTCTGTACCATCAGCTTGAGGCTCTTTGATCGTGAGGCTGGCCACCACCGTATCCCACGCAGGACGGGCAATGAAGACCAGGTCCCGCAGCTTGGACGGTTTGCCCAACTTCCCCATGAGATGGTCGTGGACCGCACCTGTCGTGCCTGCCCAGTCGGCTGCATTCTCCAAGGTGTTGAGGTTATTGAGTTCCTCTTCGGTTGGATCCATGGTAAACCGGACCTTCGCTCCACGACACCTGTCTCGAGACTGGGCCTTGCGGACTTGCCTTGGGCCCGGGAGTGGCTACCCTGCGCCTCCTTTGGTTTGGCCTAGGAGGGCTTTGCACAGAAGGTAGCTGATGATGTGAGTAGTTGCGGAAGGCCAGTGCCACGGTTCTCCTTCGGTGGATAAACCGTAAGGCTCGACTGACCAGCTGGTGCCAGCCAATCGTGCTCGGGTGACCGGCTGATCCTCGGGTGCGCAAATTCCAATGGCTGACCCACGAGTGAAGTTTCCAACCCAAAACGGCACCGACCAGGACAGCACCGCAAAGTGCTACCCCGATCACAGTCCAAACGCCCCCAAACCAAGGTTCGGATGTGCTTGAACTTGCCGTCAGGTCGGATCCCCCACTTAAGATCAAGGCCATGGGATTTCAAAATCACACCCTTGAGCCAAAATGGCCCCAGGCCAAGCTGGTTCAAGGGTTTCCCTCCCACAAACACCCCTCTCATGTCATTTAGTTGTTACAACAACAGTTTCACTGTTTCACCCTTCAATCCTGTGACGGAGTCGTGTTACTGGAGACTTGCTAAGGATGAAGATGTAGCGCTGCAGTGGGCCAAGCTCAAGGTCAATGCTGGCCAGCAGATGGTAGAAGGGGCAGTGGGAGTCACTGTCATTCATCAATGGCGTTGGGACTCAGCTTCCCTCTGGTAGCTTGGACGCATTGATTGTTTGTCAGTTGTCAGTTGTTGCAGTGTCAGTTGTCCTTATTCTGTTTCAGGTCGGGGCACTCTGCTGAAGCTAGAAATCTGATTGGGATTGCGCACTCCATCCTGAGCACTGGATTTCGTGTGGAGGAATCTTTGATTTCCCGGGACACTTTGCCTGGAATGTGCCAGTTGAAGTTTGGGCAAGGTATGAAGCGTGGCCTCAGTGTCAAGCTTGTGCGCCTGGGCCGAATTCTTCTCAACGCGTGTCATTGCCAAGTACAGTGCTTTTTCATCAATTCCTGACAGTGTTTTTTCGACAACTGGCTGAGGTGGTGTTTGATGCGCAAGGCTATCCGAGATGGGAAGCTTCAGGCAGATGTCCATGGCCTCTGCATTTTCCAGGGCCTTTGCGCTTTGCCTACCCTGTTTGTCGAACAGGATGATCTCATCAGCCAGGCATTTCGCCAAAATGTGAAATCTGCATATATCTCTCCAGTGAGCAGCCTTCAATGGACGCACATGGTGCTGGTGACGCACTTTGGAGTAGCTGCCACTTGGGCTGATGCTGAGGGTTTTCTCATGTTGTTTTGCCCCTTCAGCCGTTTGTAGCCCCATCATATCAAAATGTTCTTATTGAAAATGGTGGAATTTGATTAGACTGACAAATGTTGCTGTCCAGATATGTCCAGATGTTGTTTGCCACAATGTCTCAGCTCATCAGAACAACCATCATCAACGTGAGAACAAGGGCATAACAAAACGTCAGAGCAGGACTTTTGTAACAGGTTGGCCGTTTGATTCACCTGTCCAGCTAGGATAGCCTTTGGCTTCAAAATCTGGACTGGTAAAAGACTGACTCCCCCTACCCAGCTGGTGTGGGCGGGCGGGGAAATGAAAACACCCCAGCCTTGAGCCAAAATGGCCACCAAGGCCGAGGTGAAGCTCCCACCCTCAACTCCCCTCTCACTCAATTGGTTGTTACAAACACAGCAAGCTGTTAAAACCAACAACCATCATCAACGTGAGAGCAAGGGCATAACAAAACGTCAGAGCAGGACTTTTGTAACAGGTTGGCCGTTTGATTCACCTGTCCAGCTAGGATAGCCTTTGGCTTCAAAATCTGGACTGGTAAAAGACTGACTCCTAGATGAGTCAAATGCCAACCATGTCCCACCTGCGCAGCGCATTACGACTCTGACGACTGCGACCGGGAAGAGGAAGAAGAGCTCCCGTCGCTTTCGTTATTTGCAGGGAGCTTGAAACATTTAGAGCATTTTGCTCCGTTAGGCTCTTCTTTGAGAAGGGCATAGTCGGCTTGGCCACGGGCAAAATGCCAAAAGCACTTTGTACGCCACAGGTAATGTGGCAAAGTGTTTCCGTGGCGTGCCGCCAAGTGTACTTTGCCTCTCGAAGAGCGGTTTCTAACAAAAAGTACATCATTCTCCGGTGGATCTGGTGCCGGAGGTTCGATGATTGCTGCCGCCTCGCAGTCAGCCAAGGCTTCAACCGGCTGGTGGGCAAGGCCGGTTGCGGCTGCCGTGGCTTCTTTGGTGGCCGCCAGAATGGCCTTGAGCGAAACTTCTTGGGCCAAACCATGGAGCTGTTCGAGGGGAGCGTCTCTTACATATTGTTTAAATATTTCGGATCCCCAACGACCAAACAATTGGATTCTCCAAAGTTCGATTTGGGTGCGAGCCATGTGTACGGCTCCCGTGGCCCTGGCTGAGTGGCCTGTGAATAGTCGAAGCCCAGTGGGGCCGACCAATTTCAGCTTCAGCTTTTGGGCAATCGCCTCAAACGTGCCGGCCCAGCCTGACTTGGTCGTCTGAGCGCCGGTTTCTGTACAGAAGAGGAACGAATGCCTTTTTGCTTTGGCCCATTTCACTTGTTCCACCATGAGATGGTATGGACAGAGTGCTGGGCTTCCTTGCTCCGCGCAGGAGCATGTGTGGGTGCGAGTGGCGCCCAACGCGCGCCAGTCTGCTTTACTGGACGGCAAATTGCATTTTATTAACTTTTCTCTAGGATCCACTTGCACGTGCGCTAGCAGCGTGTTGCTGGCTTCAATTTCCCTCAACAACCACCAGGACGCAAGCACCGTTGACCGGACGGCCCATTCCGGGCCCCCTGGCGCAAGCGGGTTGCTTACGTCGGTGAGAGTGGAAACATCGGCCAAGGGCAAGGGTTGAGCTTGCTTTGCTGGCCCTCTGCCCCGCTGGCACGCACGCTTGGCGCATTTAGCCGCTAGCGCTAGCTGTGCCGTCCAGGGTTGCCCTTTTTCGATGTGCCTTTGCTTCGCGACTTCGAGGTACAGTTCGGCTGACCTGTACCCTGCTTTGTCCAGGGCCCCCATGACAGAATATATCAGGTCGGGGACGAGATCAAAAGCGCGATCGTACCCGGCTGCCTTTGCTACAGATTCCCAGGTGCGCTCCCTAGACAATGTTGGTCCATGGGAGTTAGCCGCACGGGCCCGCTTGGCAATGTGCTCCATGCACTCCCGGGGTCCGGAGCTGGCTGCCTGAACAGCTAGCTCCAGGGATCCCCTGCCATATGGTTTAACTTGGCGGTCCTCGGGATTTCCCGCCTTGTTGTCAATACCATCGGCAACGGGGGCACGAGACGAAATGACTGGCCCTTCTGCCAAGGGCCTGAACCCTTTAGGCTTCTTGGGCTCGTCGTGAGCAGTAGCTGGCCTTTGCCAGTATGTGGGCCCTATGGACCTTTTCATGCTTAAAATGCTGCGGAGAAAAACTAAACGATCGGACCACCCTCCTACACCTAGTAAAACAATCACACCCACAAACCTACCCCCATCCCGTCCTCAGGTAACCCGCCGCACTTTTTCCGCGTCCGAGTTCACGGATTTGCCAAAAGTCGGGACCTACCTCGATGGGAATCCGTTTGGCTTCCCCGAGGCGATCTTGAGGAAAAGGAGGCGGCACTGGGTCGTGTTGCCTGCTCAACGGGTCGGCTGTGATGTTGAGCTTGGTGTTGATGTGCTGGAGTATAGTGACCTCATATCTCTCCTTGGCCTGGTCGAGTGCTATTTCCCTGGCAACCACCTGCAGTTCGGGTGATTTGGCCTTACCCTTCGCGAGTAGGTAAAGGGCCGATATGTTGTCCGCTTTTACACGGACCACTGAGCCAATGGGGAACCGCACTAACCAGATGCGAGCCGCCAAGAGCAGGCAGAGAGCCTCCCAGAGTGCCATGTGTTTTGGTATTCCGGGAATGGCTCCTGTCTTCACTGTGAACTGAAAGGGAATGGGGCAGCTGAAATACTCAATGGCCGCCCCTCCCATGAGTAGCACTCCGCCCATGCCCCAAGTCGAGGCATCGGTTATGATTATGGCACCTGAGTTAGGTTTGACTGACCTCACCACTCGAGTGAACGGTACAGTCGATTCTTCCAATAGCGCGAGGATCCATTCCATGGAGTGGGCAATCCGTTTGGTGTGAACGAGCTTTCTGGCCCTGGAAGGGCCATCATCAGTCGCCAACACCGCCCAGATGCCCCCCAGGAACGGGCGCATCAATGGGACGACGCTTGCGAAGAATGACAGTGCACCGGCTAGCGATTGCAATTGCTTCTTGCCCACTACCGGTCTCGCCATAATTTTCGTGATGCGTTCCACAACCTCCGAGACCTTGTCGGCTGGAATGGTTATGGAAACCGCCCTGTCCTCCTGTAATATGCGCATTTCTGCGCCGATCCATTTCACTGAATGACCTGACTCTGTCTTCTCCATTTTGATTGGGAAACCCGCCACGGCCGCCCAGAGGATGCTGACCGTGATTTGTTTGTCCCCCTTCGGGTCGCTGGAGTCGAAGACCATGATGGGGTCGTCGACATAGATCTGGCATGCCACTGCCGGGTTGACGGCCGCCAAAGTTCTGCCCAGCCACGAGGCGAAGCGTCCCCAGAGAGTCGGTGACGAGACTGCTCCGAAAACGAGCACGTCATACACCAGTACTTTCTGTTGGCCGTTCACTTCAATGGCAGCTGCCGTGAACGCTTTGTCCTCCCCTGCCGGAACATTGTGGAACGCGTTCTCGATGTCTATCGCGAAGAATACTGGTGTGCCCCCGGCTCTGAGGATAGCGACTGCATCTGCCGCTGCGTCGGTTAGCCTGGGCAGTATGATTCTCTCGCCCTGAGAGCATAGTCCGTTTACCCCTGATTCACGTAGGTCCCAAATGAATCGGGCCTTTCTCTTGTCACCCTTCACTTTCACGATAAGGCCAAGCTTGTTGAGTACCGGCCAACGGCCGAGGTACGTTGCGGCCTCCTCGGGTGTCGAACAGGGAGATGAAGCCTTTTGCTTGAGCCTCTGCAACTAGTATGGCGAAGTCTTCCTGCCATTCGTCAGCTGATGGGTGATTCTTCCATCCCTCGTATTGCCTGGCCAGCTGATTCGCCGCTTCCTCTTCCCAATGTGGTCCTGTGACCCTGGGAAATACCCCTGTGCAGGGTATCGGTTGTGAATAGCCCAGTGGGGCTCCTTCTCTCAGCCAGGTGGCCAGCAGCTTGGCGTCGGGGTCCTCTGTGAATTCACCCCAGGCCCAAAGCACCTCCGCCGAGATAGGCGTTGACGCCCTCGTGCACTTCTGGGGTAGTTGGACGCCGGCCGGAGCCAGCAAGCCCACCACCAGCTCTCTGAGTTTCTCGACGAACGCTTTGTCGAGGGGCACGGTTTTCTGCCCCCCCAGAAGTGCCTTTGTAATGCGCACTGCTTCTGGATGGCTGCGTTCAGGAGGAGCTCATTTATGGCCTCGCCTGCAATCAAGGATCTGGGGAGTTTGGCTGCTGCAGCACGAGGGTTTCTCATACCCCCAAGCGCTGCCTCATTTTCCAGTTCCTTGTCTGTCCGCCTTGCGTCTTCCAGATGCGGCCCGGCTGGACCTTCAGCGCCCCCCTTTCAGGGGAGCTCCTCAGCTTTCATTTCTCTGAGCCGTTTGGCCCTAGGCTGGTCTGCACCCATCATGGCCCCTGCGATTATTTTGCAGAGCCTCGGTGGGTATGCTCCCAATGCCTTGGACGCCCTTTCTTTGTTGCCTCCCTCGTTGGTGCGCCACCTCTGCACAAGGCTTTCGTGCTTGGCCTTGTACTCTGAGCCGTCAGGCTTGGTCCAGGTGCGGTTTTGATGTGTGCACCTGATGCCTCTCAACTCGGTGAGGTCCATGTCGAAGTGTGCCAGCTTGGTCGGTTTGGTGACCTCTGCATCGAACATACATTGGTCGAAGGCCGCCTTGAGCACCAGTGCGTGCTTCTCGATGCCGATGCCCCACTTCGTTTTCCAGAAGTCAAGTTTGGATCCATGGTCAGGATTCTCCAGCCAGAACGACCGATGAGCCCTGAGCTGATACTTGACCGCCTCCGCTGACAGCTCGAACATCTGATTTGCTTGAGCGAGCTGCTGTTGCTCGGCCTTTGAGAGCTTCTTACGGCCGAGACCCTCAGGATGAGCCAGGTCCCTCAATGGCTTGGGGCCTGGGGGATTCTCCCTGAGGGGTGACAGCGTCTCGCAAGGCGTGGCAATACCCACGCAGTCGAATACGCCATCCTGAACTTCTTTCAGAATGAGCCTGTAATTGTCGGAGTCCAGAACATCGCATGTGGTGGGGCCCACAATGTCGACGACCACCACTATCCATCCTCCTGCTGCAAGATAGCTGGCGATGTCGCCTTCCCTGGACTTGCCGCTGAACAGCAGCAGTGCCCTGGGCCTGTGGTCCCACTGTTCTGGCGGGACGTTTGTCGCCCCGTACCGGTACGGGTGCCAGCTTGGCGGCTTGGGCAGCTGGCTTGGCCCCTGCCGATGCGGTGCGGCCTGCACTGGCCTTCGCTTTCTTTGCAGTGGTGACCTGGACGGTCTCTGGTTTCTTGGAACCAGCTTCACCCCTGAAGAGGATGCCGCAGCCCTCTCCTTGGGGCTTTCTTCTTTGCGCCCTTTCTTTTCGGGCGGTGCGCTGGGATCCGACTCAGGCTGTTTCTTGCGCTTGGAGCGCTTTGCACCTGATGCAGTGTCACCGGCAAGGGTAGGAGGTGCTGCCTCACCCTCGCCTGTTTGGCGCTGTCAGTCTTTCTTGCAATGGCTTGCCTGATGGGGACCCAGGCAAAGGTTGCATTGGTGACTGCGCCCGTTGGGGCATCTTGACTGTGGCTTGCCATTGCCGCACTGCCCCTTGTTGAACTTGATGCAAATCTGAAGGCCCTTGCGGTTGAGGGAGAAGACCTTGTTGTTGTCGTCCCACTTGCTCTTGTCTTCCCCCGTGTACTTCTTCTTTGCCTTCTTCTTCTTGAGCTTCGGGCTCGAGGACTTCTTCCTCTTTGGCGATGGCCGCTCTGGGGCCGACTCGATCGAGGAGTCCGAGCTCAGCCCACAGGCTATGGACTTGTTGCGGGCCAAGAGCAGTGTGCTTAGGGTCATCACTTCCCTTGTCCAGAAATCTTGCTCCCGGACCGCTTCCGCGAAGATGGCAGCCCAAGGGTTGGCGGGTGTATACCCATGCCGTGGGTCATCGTCCAGCGCCCGCCGGATTCTCTCCATGTACTCGGACCGCATGCGGGTGTCTGCACGGTATATGATCCCCCAGCATGCTGGCCCGAAGCGATTGTGGAACTCCTTGACGTGTTCCATGTAGGCCTCGAGCCTCTCGGGGTCCGCAGCCTCCAAGAGCACCATCGCCACCTTGTATGTTTTAAAACACTTTTCCCAGGCGACGATGCTCTCTGGGCCAGGGGCTTCTTTCTTGCTCCATTCCCCCGATGCCGCATTCAACACGTAGCTCTTGAACACCGCTTTACGCAGCGTTCTGAGCCCATGTGGACCCCACAGTGACATGTCCGCGTATGGCGTGGCGTTCGCCTTCAACAGTTGTGCCAAAGCCGACAATTGGTCGATGCTCGGCTCAACCTCCGGCGATGGGTGATCACCGAACCTGCTTTTGTACTTGGCGTACATTGCACTGACAGCGGTCTGTTCCAACTGGACCACCTCTGAGTCCAGAGTTGGGTCAATGACCACTGACAGTTTGATCTTCCTCGTTGGGGAACCTTGTGAACTGGACGGGGGCTGTGCCGGAGTTGTAGCAACCCCAGGGCGTTGTATACCCGGATCCCCCGGTGTGTCGGGCGTCATCTGCATCCGGAGCATCACCACCCGTCGAAAGATTTCCAGCCTCGAGCCCTCCACTGGTGTGGGTTCACGTTGACCTGGTGGGTCGCCTGGATTGGCTGGTGCTGTCGGTACCCTCAGGAGGACAAGTGCTGCGTCCCACACCGGGCGTGTGATGAATGCAATGTCCCTGAGTTTCGTCGGGGTGCCGAGATCTTTGAGGAGACCCTCTTTCAAAGGGCCCTCAAGACCGGCCCAGTCTGCCACGTCGTCAATGGTCTCCATGTTGTTGAGCTCCTCTTCGGTTGGGTCCATGTTGCAAGGCAGGACCCTCCCTCAAAGGAGTAAGTTCCGAACTCGTAGAGCTCCTTGGTGTTGCGGAACCAGCCAATGTAGCTCTCCTCCTCAGATTGGGTCGGCTCTGCACCGATTGGCGCAAGGAGCTTTCCCTGAGGTTGGAGAAGGCCAAGCTGATCGCTCGTCGACGGCGCACAAAGCGCAAAGCCCGGGATGTAAGCACTTCCCAAGGGCCCACAACGCGAAAGGTTGCGGCTCGGGTGTTTCCGATCCCAAACCGGACCCAAAAGGCACGGAGGAACCAGCCACACAGGACCCCCAGCCCGTAAGTGCTAACCAGCACCCACAGGAGGAGGTCCACACCCGGATCCTCGGTCGGTTGACCGAAGGGACCAGGTGCTGCGTCGCTGCCTTCCCCACCTAGCCCTGGGCCCATTGAAATGAAAACACCCCAGCCTTGAGCCAAAATGGCCACCAAGGCCGAGGTGAAGCTCCCACCCTCAACTCCCCTCTCGCTCAATTGGTTGTTACAAACACAGCAAGCTGTTAAAACCGACAAAGTTGGGACGGACTACTCGCAGATCTTCGCTTGGGATAACCCTGTGGAACGGAGGAGCAACGGCAAGTTGCTTTGCAATGTGCTGGACAGACTCTTGAAAGGCTACGAGACCAAGGTTGATGCAGAGGGGGTCGCAGTTGAACCGCCTTTGGCCAAAAAACGCAGGGGAAGACGCGCTCCATCCAAGAAGGATGACAGCCAGACTTCGCAACCTGCTCCAGATGGCAACCGTTCTGAGATCCGCATTGGCACAGTCAAGGTGACTGCCATCAAGAACCTGCTTATGTGGGTCACTCCGCAGGCTTACAAGATGATGATGCACCATTCCTCTGTTTGTGGAGGGGAGCGCCGTTCGGCCTTCACTGAAGCAGTGTTGGCGTGGCGTCATTTATGGCCAGGGAGCCCCCCAGCAGAGGGTATGATGCCGAATGAGGCTGAGGAATTTGCCAGGCGAGGTGCTGCAGCAATGCAAAAGAAGCTGTTGCCTGATCGGGTCACGTCGCTTGGCTTTGCGTTGGTGTTTAATTTTATGCAGTTTTTAGTTTTGGTTTTTGGTTTTGTGGGTCTTGTGCATTTTTTTTTATCCAGCAAAGCTTCGCTTGTTAGGTCGAAGCCCTTGCAGTTCGGAATGGATTTGACACCAGAAGATCATGAAGCCTTGATCCTGAAAATTGTCAGCGTGTATGAAAGTGAGATGGAAACAAAAGGTGACTTGGCCAAGATCAACGTGGACCAGCTGTGGAGCTACCGCATGGTAGTGCAGGCATGGCGTCAAACAGTGATTCATTGTGCCAAAGCAGACCTTGATGAGCGAAGCTTCCAAGAGGTCCAGAGTGCCATTGAAACCGGCGACGCATTGGACCAGCAGCTCTGCCATTGCTTGAAAAGCTTTCCACTTGAATTTGGCCTCACAATGTTGCCAGATGTGAAGTGTTTGACAGATGCTGGTGAGATGCAAGATGCAGAAGTTGATGATGTCATTGAGAAAGCCGAGAAGGATGAGTGGCAACTTGGCTCAATGCTTACCCAACTGGCATCTTGTTTTTCTTGCTTTTGTTTCTGCATGTTGACATGACTGGTGATTTAGACTCAATACTGTCAATACTCACTTGGTGAATGTAACATGTTGAGCAGCCACTGACGCATGTCAGGATTTCCAAGTTGATCGCTGTGGAGGCGAAATTGAAGTTGGATTGGAAGCTGCTCAACTCAGTGTCAGATGGCTATGAGGTTCTTGGAGATTGCCTGGATTGGCTGTCGACCCAAAAGAAATTGAAAGTTGCACAGCACGCTCGGGACACAGTTGACAGGCACATGAAATTCTTCTGCCCCTCGTTGGCTGTGGAGAACAATGAGAGTTTGCCTGGGGACCTGGAGGGCTTGATGGCTTCCCTGCCGCCGCTGGCTGATCCTGATGGCAAGCGTCTCATGGTTTTCCATTTGGATTTCAACATCCCAAATGCTCCTTGACACAAATGAGTGAATATGTTTGCAAGGATCTTTTCATAAGAGGTCGCTGTCATTGAGCCGTGAATTCCCCAGGCCAGGAATGCTCTGAGTCTCAAAGGGCTTATCCCATCATTGGCCAATTGCTGCCGAACGCAGGGTGTCTTGGCAGTCACATTGTGCGCATTGTGAATGATCTGTGAATGACATTGAAAAGTTTATGATGGCATTTTTCCAGTCAGTCAATGCTTCTTCTTGTTGCAGGTGTGGGCACTACTGTGGTCTTGTGCATCTTTCCAAACCGCAGTCGAGAGGATAGTGAATGTGATCCCATGGAAGACGAGGTGGACATTGTCCGAAAGATGCGTGAGGCTGGATTCAAACGGCAAGTCCCTTTCTTCATGCCTTTGCGTGTGCCCATGGAGGAGTTTCTTGAAAGCAGTCATGTGTGTGTCACGTACTTACGGCAATTGTTGTGAACATTTTCAGTTGAAGTATTCATTCGTTTGTTTGCTAACCTTTTCAGTTGACAAGTGACTTGATCTGAGGACCACAAACCAGACGCAATGGGACTTTGGGATGCGGGGACGTCTCATGTTTTGGGGAGGCGACGACGCTGGGCCCAATGTTTTTGTGCAGTGCTCAGAGCTGGTGAGAACTGGAAAGTTGCCCGAGGGAGAGCTGTGTTCAGAGATGCTACCAATCACTTCGAGCGCAGCAGAAACGGAACGAGCAGATGGAATGCGTGTATGCGCTGCCACCCGGTCGGCCCAGAAAGGTGGAGAAGTCTGGAAGATCATGTACCAGCAACTCATGATGACTAGCAAAGCAAATCCAGCTGCAGCCCCTCCACTGGTGAGACCAAAGGATGAGATCGTCATCCTGGACTTTCACGTCCACAATGCAGACCATGCATTGGGGTCTTGCTTGATGGCAGCAGAGGGAGGGCCTGTGCAGAGGCATGTGATGCTGAAGTTTCTGCGGGACAAAAAGAGCCTGAGTGCCTGTGAGTTCTCACAAAAACGAGTTGGCGCGCACCTGGGCACGAAATGGCTTAAGCACGAACTTAAGCTTTTCACAGAGACTGGAAAAAGTGTGGCTCCCATTGAAGCCGATATCACCATTCTCGATGACAATGACAAGGCCTACCTCCGCTCAGTGCCTGGAGCCATGGAAGCATACGAAGGAACGAGAACGTGGGAAGGCAAGCTCCGCGTGACTTGTCTCAATGGTGCCCAGGTTTCTTTGCAGCCAACATTGAAAGCAGAGTTCGCACATGCACTGCCGTCAGTGAAAGCGCAGTTTGATGCCATGGAGAAACTGCACAATGACAAGTATGGCTCCTTGTTGGTTGGGAAGCTCCAATCTGTGCGCGGTGATGCACGTGGAGGCACTCCCGCTGCAGACCCAAGGCCTTCGAATTTGACAAGTGGAAATGCACAAGAAGGCAGTGGCGAATCGAATCCAGGGCCCGTTTCTTTGACTGGTCCAGAGTCGGATGCACAGCTTCGCCAGCAGTACAAGATCACTGTCGACGTGAAGGCCTTTGATAATCGTGGTGTTGGATTTCTTGTTGCTGACAATGGCCATGCGTTTATCATTGTGAAGTCTGAAGACTTGATCTTGCGGAAGGGTACCAAAATCGCTGGTCTTGGGTCTGGACGGATGACCCAGGAAGCTGGTGATCATGCCTTGCAACTGGGATTTCCTGATGGTGACAGGACACTCACTGAGGCCTGGTGGGTGACCGTTTGGGGTGTGTGTTCATCTCACAGGCTGCTTGATGTCCCTTTGAGTCGCATCTCGCATCCACAATTTCAAGTGACATCTTCAACTGGCAAACTGTTTTGTAGTCTGACAAAACTGTCATCTCCGTTGTTTCCATTGGCATCTTCAATGTGCAGATTGTGCTGATAGTTTCCCACTCTCTTCTCACATGACCCATTCAACTAATGTCTCCACAGTTTCGAGTGACACCTTCAAGGTATAGGCTGTGCTGATATTTCCCCTTCTTGTAGGTTTCACATGACACGTTCAACTGACATCTCAACAGTTTCCATTGGCATCTTCAAGGTAGGTTGCGACACTAAATTCTTGAGGTTTCATGTGACACATTCAACTGACATCTCCACAGCTCTCATTGACATCTTCAACTGGCACCTTCCACCCTGCACCTTTCAAGCTTCGTTTGGTATTCAACTGACATTGTACAGTTTCATTGGGCATTCAACTGACATTGTACACTGGTATATTCAATTGACGCATAGCAGATTCAACTGATTTTTGGCCTTGCCAGGTGATCGTTGGGAATGCCGGTGCGGATGAAGCTGATCAAAAGGTGCAAAAGGGATCTTTCTACATTGTGGTCAAGGAGCTGATGAAGACTCACAACTTGGCAGACATCGACATCAAGGTTTCAACAGATGTTCAGCAAGGCAAGCCGTGGTTCTTCCTGCCCAAGGACAAGGAACCTACAAGCTACACCCCAGGCAATGCAGCCAGGAACTTGATCCTCATGAATGACAAGACCAGCTTGCACCCAGCATTCTCATGGATGTGGAGGTTTGGATTCGACAAGGTACATTCGAAACTCACGGCAAAGAAGGCGTTTTTGATTTCAACCAAGCATGAAAGCCAACAAGCCAATCAAGTTGACCCGTGACAGCAGCTGAAAGATGGAAGTTGATTACGCTGCTAGATGCCAGATTGCACCTGATGTTGCCAGATGAATTTGAGTTTGAAGATGCCACCTGTGAATGGCAACGTTTGACTGACTGAGTGAGGTGGGCTCATTTTGTTCTGCTGCGCTTTCTGGAATTTTGGTCATTTTGATGGCGTGGAAAAAATTAGAAAGCTGTTGTGGTTGATGTTTTGGCACTGTTTCGCGGTGATGTTTTTGCACTGTTTCACACTGATATTTTGGGACTGTTTCACACTGATGTCTTGTCAAGTGTCTATTGATGCAAACTGAGGCAACATTGACACAGGCAGCATTGAAGCAGTGTTGGCAGGA